CTGAGCAAGAGTGAAGCACCCTCTTCACTAACAACAGGCACAACAGGCCGTCCTGGGTGCCCCAGGCATTATTGGCTTTGGCAGAGCAGACCATGCCAGATCCAAACCAGTTCAACTGGCTCCAGAGCACCAGAGGAGCCCAAAGGCAGGTAGTTGTTCACCTGAGTGGGATGGATACAGAAGCTGCAAATAGTGTCAGAGGTCTTTTTCCCATTACTGTTGTTATTTTTGATTACCAGGGTCGCTGAGCTGACGGGTATGACCGGGAAGTGTGTGAGCTGTGGAGAAGGCACTTCTGCCACATCCATATATTCCAGCCCTGGTGAAATGTGCACAGTGGTAGGTGGCACTGGTCTGTCCACAGCCACCGTGACAGCTGCTGCACTCTGCCAATGAGTTGGTCAACAATGTTTTGACAGTGCATGTTAGGTGAAGGGATTGCAGTTATCTTAGGAACGCTGCTGGCTATGTTGTGTCTGTGATAGTTTTGCTGATGATGAAATAGGGTTCCTGGTCTGATAAGGAAGAGGTGGGGCACATAATTAACCAACCAAGTAGCTGGGAGCAAGTCCTGGGGTATTTGTGTAATGGTTCCTTGGGTGGACTGTACTTGTTTGGGAGAGACAATTTCTGCTCTGTATTAAACAAACAGTAAAGATAATTTGCATGTCAACACCGTTAACTATTTCAGCAGTAGGGAGGAGATAAAGTCACAGATCTGCTCAATTAATCGTGAGCAATGTCTCATTTTGGTGCCACAGTTAAATGATATTTGGAGTTACCTTGATTTCTGTGTTTCCCAAGAAAGAAGTTCAGTGCAACTCGAAATCTAGGTGCCTGGGGAAGCAAAGCAGCAACACAACCTAGTGCCTTTTCATTACCCAAGTGAAGAGGGTTCATTTTGGGAGTGGGTCTTAAAATAGAGCCATCAACACGTCTGTCGACTCCACTGTTGTCAGAACAGCTTTGCTTTGTTAAACCTTCCTAAAACATTCAGCACCTATGCGGAAATGAAGTTCACAGCTCCCCACTGCTGCTCACCTAGACTGCCCGCTCTTCTCCCAGCAGTATGACTACTCCGTTTACCTGCTGCTCTCCTCAGATCTTGTCAGACCCGTTTCCTGAGCCAGTTCAAATCACTAATCTAGGAGAAAAGGGATCCAGGTAAAAAAAGGAGGTGTCTAGTCTTTTACTGGGAAAGTGGTCTGAACAAAGAACGTAACAGCATGCCACATATATCAGAAACAATTCAGAGGTGGGGGCAGAACATGCATTTGAGAGTGATGGAAGTGTGGAGTTAGTTTGTAATACTTATCTTTCTACTGTGCAGAGCCCATTAAGATTTAAGGTTCTCCCTTTTGTTTATATCACCTGCCCAAAACTAGTTCTGCCTTTAGTTCAATAATAGGGTGGTTATTTTATTATTTGTTGGCGAGTGAACTCTAACATGGTCTAAATTTCTGGTACTGACAAGGCAGAGTCCACACATCACTTGTCAGTTAAGGTAGCTACAGACCAGCGGTTTCTTTACCTCCAGCCTTGCTTTCTGAAACAGTCTTTGCCTGCTGCTGAAGCAAGAGGAAAAAGGAAGTCCAAGGCTGATACAACCTTTAAGTAACAACCAATTCAGCTTTGGGAAATTTTTCAACTCCTATTTGCTTTTAAAAGTATTGTTCACATTTTCAGTGCTTTTGTCATCCTTCTTTGCTCCATTCCTGTTTATTTGTACCTCCACTTTCTTGCCTGCCCAAACCCAGGTGTTCCAGTTCCTCAAATGAAACAGTGCACACTTTCTGTTCTCCCTGCGCCAAGTCTTTGCATGAAAAAATATATAACAAAGTGTGTGCAGGCTTCATCCAGGCAAAGCTCTTCAAATCCTGCTGCCCATGTTACAGCAGGGGCCCCTAGCACCTCTAGCTGGTTCTCTGCACTCCTCAGAGCCTCATCAAAGCACTGCCTCCGGGGGTCTTCCCCTCATTTCCCTAATACCAGCATCTTCTGCTTGCTAAGGCACCTCCTGAGACAACTGGCTCTTGCCCTACAGCCTTGCCCTTCATAGCTCCCATCCACAGCTGCCGTGTCCAAACTGCTGAGCCTGTGCTCTGGCACAAAAGGAAGCACCACCAGGCCTCCAGCACCATGGCAGCAGCTTGGCTCACCCTGGGCCAGGAGAGGGAAGAGCACAGAGGAAGAGGTTACAGGTTTTTGTGTGCGCTAAAGGCAGCCCAGCTCCAGCTGCAACCCTTCTTCCCATTCATCTCTTTTCCAACCACCCTGAGGGTGAGGGGTAGAAATGTGAAACCCTTCGCAAAACTGCCAGAAAAAGAAAATTTTGAGTAGGAGGTGGTAAGTAGGGAGTTGGAGAATGAGAGAGTGAAAATGAGGAGGGAAAAGACCAAGGTTGGACAGAATATTCGCAGCCTTTCTGCAACCTTGTCTGGGGAGTCACTCCTTCCCACCCTGTCCAACATGAGCATCTGCCAGCATCACAGGCAGAGTAAAAACAGAGCTTTGTGTTTACCGTTTTAACATCATATTTAATGTTTCTCACCATTTTCTCTGATTCCAGCCACTTGAAAGCAAAGGCTTTTCCTGTAAGCCATGTTATATCCCAATTTCAACTTACTATGCTATCTACTGTGATACACTCTTCAGTCAGCTGCCTTTCCCTCTTCTCTTTTCCCACTTCTCTTTCCCCCTCTCCCAGAACATGCATATTACTTTCTCTCCCTCTTTAAAGTTTCCTTAAATATTAGTTAGACCTCCCTGGGGAGGTGATACCCTCACCCAACAGAAGTGCAAGACTAAAATACACATAAGATCAATGTCCGGCTGGGAATATGCATTGTTGCCCTTAGCGAGACAGTGGCCTGGCACTTAAAAGATGTCTATGAGATTTGTTATCACTTTATCATAATCATTTCCCTTTTCTTAGCAGAAGAATGTCCTTTTAAAATGGCCCCAAGTCAGAATTAAAAAAAAGAAATGGGAATATTATAGGGTTTTCACTAAGGTAGCAGAATAATAATTCTGTGCTGGGTAAGTCAAATGGAAATCACCCACCTGGAAAAGACAATTGTTTCTGAAAAGTCAAGAGAAATACTCCTTTTAACAATAAATACTATCTACTGAGCACATCTTTGGTACAAACTCACTAAATTTAAGGGAATCAGACCCCCGTATTTCTTCAGTTTAGAGGAGAGATGCTACCACAAGATTTGAGACTATAAAGGTGAATGCCAGGAAATGTATCAGTAATTAATCTTCCTTCCTTTTCTCCCACATTACAATATACCCTATTTCTTCTGTGTCAGCTATCTTTGTGATGCTCACAACAAACTTCTCCCTTGGTTATATTTATTAGCTCCTGTAGAACATTAACAAAATGTCAGCTTTTCCTGAGAACACTGCTAACAGTTAATTACTCACGATAACTACTAAACGATTGAAGTGTTTACTTTACTAGGCTCTACAAGATACATTTTAAATGCCTCAGGATAAGCTAGTTGCAAGGAGAAGTTTGTTGTTTGTTTTGGTTTTTTTTTTTCAAACAATTCTACAGTTTGGATGCTGTGGTATGCAATTAGGCAGATAGGCTTAGCCTGGTGAACATGAAAAACCTGAACAGACTATTCCCATTTCCCCTACAAATCTACTTTTAAAGCAGAGAACTGTGGATATATGTCTTGTTAGAAATAGTGGATATTAACTTTAAAAAACCCTTTGTAAGTCAAAATGAATAGTATATGCCCCTATTTTTCCAGCCCTATGTGCAATATTTTTCACCCCATGACTGCCATTAGCATTGCTAGAGATCACAAAATTCTTCTGTGTCCTGCAGAAAGTTACCCTCATAGGGCAACACTTCACAACCCTTATTCTGTGAGTCACTAGTCCCACTCTACAAGACATCCATCCCATTGAGATCAGAGGTGTAAGACAAACTTGGCTCTCCTTTATGTTAAAGACAAAACCTACAGCAAAATTACCAACTCCTTACTGTTATAGTTCAAAATGTATTTCCAAGTCTGTCTATTGATATAAAATGTTCACAGTATATAATAATATTACGTGTAATATCTATCAGACAAACTTTAATCATTTCTTAACATGAGGAGCTTTGTGCCTGCCTTCCTAAATTTATCAAAACTCACACACATCCTCATCAGATGCTATTCCTGTTTTTAAATGCAGAAACTGAAATAGAAAGACCAAATGATTTGCCCACAATTATTCATTAAATCAATTGCAGAGCTGGTGTTGGAAAATCAGACCTTCCTGGGTCCCAAAAATATATTCTAATTGCAAATCATGATGACCTGCCTATGTATGAATGAGAAAACGGTGCAGATGTAGGAAGTGACTTTAATCTGTGAAAGAAACCAAAGCCAACCTTTCTCCTGGGAGTTTTTAAATCACAGAAGTTTCCTGGTAAAACTATTAATCCCTTATATTTCAAAGAAAATGCTGTGTGCTGCTGTACTAATTCAAGGTAAAATTAACACAAACAGAATTTTCAGTGCAATAGAAATACAGTTAACACAAACCTTAGTCTGGTCACCAGGCTATAAACTGGTGCAATGAAAACAGATCAGAGCAAAGAACTTGTCAGGCATCAGTACAGTTCCCAGTAGTTCACCCTGAAGTATTCATGTAGAACTATATTTGCAATGCCTGTGCTAGATGTATCTCCAGAGTAATTAGATACAAAATGCTTTTATTTTTTTGGCTACTTCAGTGTTTTCTGAAAGGGCAAAACCAATTGCTTTTTTCCTTCTTCTGCCACTCATTACCTGGTGTAAAACCCATAGACTACACACAAAAATAACAGAGCACTATGCAAGAAGTATGTATATGACAGTATGAGAAGGACTTCTAGCACCCAAGGGGAGTGCTGGATGTTGTGTCTCTTCACACTGTGGTGTGCAGTCTGATATGCCATTCCCAGAGGGGCAGCTGCCTGGTAGAACCAAATATTCATATTAAATCCCACTGCAAACCTCCTCTCAGGAGATGGGGTTGGTGATGGCCTCTCCACGCTTCTCAACCAGCTTCCAAAGTGATCACTGTTGATCAGTGTGAGCTGCCCCTTCTCCTAGGCCCTGTGCAAATGTTAGGGAGTAGCTGGAAGAAAAATGAAGTACTTAGTTAGAAGGCTATATTGATTGGTAAAATTAAACCTGATGTCTCTGAAAATTCCTTGCAAAAAGATTAATATTAAAATTAATCTGATCTTTCAATAGACATCAAAAGCTAGTAGGCAATAAGGACAGGGAACACAGAAGTAAAGACATAGAACAAGGGAAATTAAAAATATTAAAATATTTTTCCCCAGTGAAAAGCAAACATTTATATTTTTGCTCTTCAGTTTAGCTGTAAAACCTTTGTTCTTATATTCTGAGAGTGTCAAGGAAGTAATCAGGTGAGTTTAATTTACATTCTTTCTACTCTTTTTTTTTTAAATGTTTTATATCTCTGTCAGGTATTTGGCTGCCTCTCTAAAAAAGTTCTGATCTTTTTGGTCTATCATTCAGAAATCCCTCCATAATAACCCCTTGAATTTCATCTATTTCTGCTACACTTTGCAATGTAATAAAGCGAGGTTTGCAGGAGGAGGTAATGTCTCTTATTAGAACAAGCATCAGGGATGGGAAAAACACCCAAGCTTTCACATATAAAAGACAGGAATCCTTTTTGATGTAGACATTATTTAAACTGAGCAAAGGCTCCCAGGTGAGTATCAATGAGTTAAAGAAGGAATTAAAATATGTTTGTTTATTGAGAAGCCTTGAATTACATTTTATTTCAGAAAGTTTGTATTTAAGCAAGACTTCACAAAACCATTAAGTAGTGTGAACTTTACCAACACTTTTTGTTAAACGCTTAATCCACGCCCACATCAAAACAAAGACAGACGGCTGAGCTCTTTACATATGAGAAGGTGACTTTTCACACATAGCCTTAACAGTAAACCTTTTGTTGTTTTTTTTTTCACGGAAATACAAAGCTCCAAGATAATAAAGTTTCCTTAATTTACATTTCTCCCAAGAAGTGGAAATTACAAAACTACAGACAACAAACATTGGCTAATCAGTCTAGGGAAAAAGGTCCAAAGGGAAAACTCAGAAATGGGTTTGTTTAAAAGCTACAACAGGCAGAAAGGACCTTGAGCTATGAATGCTTTTGTATTGCTAATCTACCTAAAGTTCTATTGAAAAAAAAAAAAAGAAATCCTTGAATGAACGATTCTGACTTTGTTCTAGTGTGAATTGAGTAGCTGTTTCTTGAAAAAAATCCAATACTCGGTCGGTATTTAAACAAGTCTTCCTGAAGACCTTTTCTCAAACAAGTCTTTATACGGGAAAAACAACTGTTGATTTTGTAGTCATCGTGTGAGTAACTTTTATTAAAGTCAGCAGGGCCTTGCCTACTGTGAGATTTTTTTTGAACCTGTAACTCTTAATCAGGATAGCTGTCAGCTGTAGAGCCTGAGGAAGCTGTCATACAGACAATATTCAAATGGAGTTGTGTTTTTCCCACAGTGTTGTTGAAAGGAAACCCTTTTGTTAAGCAAAGCCTGAGAGACATTAGTATCCTGAAATGGAAACAAATAGAGCGAAGGAGGGTCTCCCAACGATAAACACTTTCCAAGCGCAATGTGTCTCCAGAGCTGAAACTACACACTACCCAAGATTCTTAAATCTCTTTCCCAAATATGGGTTAGAAGTGTTAAGAATTTGTGGGAAAGTTTTCCTTTAGTGTAGACCACGGCTTGATGTTTATTCATATGCTGTAGTAAGCAAATGAGAAACTAAGCACTTTGTAAATGGTGCATCATTTTGACTACTTGATCCACTCTACTGACAGAACAGTTTGGCATAATTGCTGGCATACATAATATTTTCAAATGACAATTCTCCAAACAAGTCAGGGCCTGAGCTAGCAGCAGTGAAAGGTGAAGAGAAGCTGCCTACATGTTGGGCTGAATTCTGGATTATTAAATGCCACAGACAATTAAGATTTATAGTTGATATTGTCCACAACATAAATGCATTCCTCTGTCTTCAGTACTTCCAGTTCCACAGCATGTACCAGTATCTATCTTCAGCTGTTGCTTTGGATGTGAAAGCTAATTTCTCTGCTATACCCTTTCCCTGGCATTTGACCACAACTGTTTTGAAACAGGCCCAAAAACCCTTCAGTGCTGCCTCTACATGTAGTTTTGATTTAACATCGACAGTATCACTCGTGCTCTTGCTTCTGAGTCACACCAGGAATGGAGCAGCTTCAGCTCCATGTTGCTGTGTATCTTCTCTAGGAAGTCAGGCAGGATTGCCTTGCGAAGGAGAAAAACCCTTCATCAACAGTGACTGGCAGAAAACCGTGAGCAGGATTTTAAAGAAATTCAAGAGACAACGAAGTATTGCCAGTAACAAAGGTTTAGGGCTTTCAGCAACCTTTCAGTATTACACTGCTGCTATGACACTGTCGTGGGATTAGGATGGAGATCTTAAATTTGCAAACATGCTTATTTTGTTTTGGCATCTCGGTGTTTGGCTGTCAAACAAATTCCCAACAACTATCTGCCACCACAGTTAAAGAGCATCTTTTGTAGAAGCAGTCAGACAAGCAAAGATAGAGTGACAGCAAGAAGACTGATGGCAAGAGGGACCCACAGAGCAAGATAGTGGCCAATATACATGTAGTGCCTGCAGATATACCAGCTCAGAAAAAAACTACAGCTGAGTTTCAGCTGTGAGCAGCCTGTAAGGGCTTGAGCAGCGATGTGGAACTGGTCAGAGTGCCTACAGGGAAGAGTTGTACAGACAGAGAAAAAAAGACACCTGTCTGTAAAATGGAGCCTGCACAGCACAAATTATGAACTGTTCCTAATATATCTGTTTATACCTGTTTATTATTTCAGAATAAAAGCTCAGTATTAAAAGTATTATCCCTGTTGCCGGAAGGAAGCACTTTTCTTTTTCATCCTAAATCTTCCAAAGGTGTAATACCAACAAAATTGGTCAACACTGCTGCATAAAACAGGTTCTGAAACCTTAATTATTTTTCCATAGTAGGAGAAGATCCAGCTTTCCTATCCTGTAATGCTATTTGGAACAAGAAAACCTTGTAATCGGTAATATTATAATACCACATATAATAAAATTTTTGGTCCTTCGAATGTTTGGCCTGTATTATGTAGGTCAACCAGGTAGTTACTATCAGTGCTGTCTGCTCTACCTCATCAAACTGCATCTTGTGTTCCTGAGATGATCCTAGGGAGCTTGCCATAGCCTCATGCTCTGGTTGATGGCATCATAGATTGCCTTCCCAGCAAATCCTGTGGCATATAGCTATGTTTTTCTTTCCAGATCTAGGTTTGTGACAGAGAACCACAAACAACCTTTTAACTCTCAGAAAAATCTCTGCCCAGTCTTCCACCTCAGTGATTTACTTCTTGTAATCATGTCTTATTTTCAAGGCACTCTTCATAAGGAGAAAAAACAGAAATATTTTAAAATATCTTTCATCTTCCATGGAGAGGATATGCAGTGGCAGGCTTTGGGAATCTACAAAATGCTAGTCTTTACTTCTAGCTGATACTTTATCTCCCTCTCTCACGACTAGCAAAGATAATAGCTGTGATGCTAGTTATAATGATTTTTGCTGTCAGACCAAAAAAGCCTCCACAGCAACACATCTAGTTTGCAGACCAATATAATCTAGTCAATAATACATGAAAAAGATACCTATATGGCTAACAAAAGACTAGGACTGACAACTTTCTAGAGATATGTTCAGGACTGTATTTTTTCTTCCCCAAATTACACTTTAAGATCATGCTAAGCAGCTCTTTCTCTCAAATACAGTTAACATGCCACTGATGGTGATGCCCTGCCTTCTGGAAAGGCACTACCAGCACCCCTATATACAAATCACAGCATGTTCACACCCTCTTTGTTAACTGAAGATCCACTGGGACTCTTGTGATTTAAGTACAACAGAGGAATCAATGGGATGCACACGGAGTGAGGGTGCTCCAGATGAGCAGCTACTTGCTAGAATGTTGGAACCTCCCCCTTAAGCAATAAGACATCTCTCTCCTCCTTGTGGTTAGTAAGCTAAAGGCACGGTCTGAGTTTGAGAGCCTTTTGTTTTACCACAGTGATGGAATTCTGGTTTTAGGCTGAACCACTCTCCTCATGTCAGCTGTGATTGTTTTGTGACAAGGCCCACTTGGGGAAGGTAAAGGATAGGAACGTTGCATTAATATGTAAGAGATTTTTCCTTTACCATTAAGGGTTTTGGAGAACTGAAGAGTTATTGAACTTCTTAAGAATAACTAATAAAATTTCTCTATATCCTTTGTCCTAATAGAAACAAAATCATTATGGATCACAGTGTCTCTGTGCATATCTTTGTCCCCAGCCTGAATATCCTTTGAATCCATGGGGCAACTGCAGATAGATTTGATAAAGCACAGAGGTCTCAAGGCATAAAACTTAGATTCCTATAAGTTTTATGCAAAAAGGGAATGCAAAAAGGACAAAAAAATATCTTTGTATGTGTGTCTGTCAGGTATGTATCAGGTAAAAGCAGAAGCATAAAATTGTTAAACATCTTGGAATCCACAGGGTCCTCCTTTGTGGATATTGTCCTGAAACTTTGCCTCCACTGTGAGGAAAACAAAACTCAGTCAGATTTTGCATATTCTTGGACACGATGTCAAACAACAAGAAGATGCAAACGGACAGGAAAACTAATTCCCAGCTGAATACATCCCCAGACCAGACCATCTCATTCCAGCACTTGGCCTAAATAACATAGTCATTGTTTTCCTGGGTTTTGACCTTGAATAGTCAGGTTTATCTTACTGGGTTCCCTTTGGCCTTGGCACACCAGCTTTCTGAATTCATTTCCAAATCCAGTATGTGATGATTCTGTTTGTACTGGCCCATCATACCCTGACTTAACATCTGAATGGGGCAACATTGGTGAACCATTTAGAATGCTATAGGTAGAATATAGAATATAGAATATAGAATGCTGCAAGGGTCAGCTGAATTTAACCCCCGTTTTTAGTGTAATGGCACATTAGCTCAGAGAATTCACAAGCAGATATTACTGTCTGTTGGCTCATTCTTATTGTCTTTATCCTAAGCATTTCTGATTGGCTACTGTTGCTCCAAAATGGAAGTTAGGCTACATGGATTCGTCTGTCTTCATGTGAGTAGTTCTTATGTTTAGGTATTCTAACTATGTTCTAAATTACTTCCTGGGTCTTCGTCAACCTCTAGTTGTAGCATCACTGTCCAGAGTTTGTGTCATAAGTTCTGTCCAAGTCTGGGGCCTCCAACATAAGAAGGACATGGACCTGTTGGAGTGAGTCCCGAGGAAGGTGATGAAGATGATCGGAGGGCTGGAGCACCTCTCTTATGGAGACAGACTGAGAGAGCTGAGGTTGTTCAGCAGGGAGAAGGCTCTGGGGAGACCTCATTGTGGCCCTCCAGCACCTAAAAGGGGCCTATTTAAAGGATGGAGAGCAACTTTTTACACTGGCAGCTAGTGACAGGACAAGGGTTTTAAACTAAAAGAGCAGAGATTTAGATAGGATGTAGGAAGAAATTCTTTACTGAGAGGGTGGTGAGGCACTGGAACAGGTTGCCCAGAGAAGTTGTGGATGCCCCATCCCTGAAAGCGTTCAAGGCCAGGTTGGATGGTGCCTGGGCAACCTGGTCTAGTGGGTGGCATCCCTGTCCAAAGATGAACGGTTGGAACTAGATAATCTTTAAGGTCCCCATTCTATACATAATTGATACATGGTAGGAAAAAAATAGTGTCACTGTGTGCAATGGTGGAGATTAAGAGAGAAGCACCTTTCCGGAATGTCACCATTTTTAAAATGACCTAGCCTTTGAGCTAATATTTGTTGCTAGCATAAAGTGATTAGAAGTTTTCATTAATACCTCTCTTCCTTTTAAAATCTAGCTCATACAAGCAAGTAGAGGCTTTTAATAAGGCAAGGCAACAAAACGTGGACAAAGCATGGACACCACTGCAGGACTGCAGGGCAAAAGCAAATAGTGCAGCTATTCTGGAATGGTGGTGTCAGCCTGGAATGACTCCCTACTGTGACATTTTTATTCCACAAAATCATTGATTTATTTTGGATGACAGTGCACATATGCACAATTACCCTGAAGAGCTATTCTGGCCAACAACACTTAGCAGGCAAGTATGGAGTGTGATTTTCAGAGCCATAGGCAGTTTTATTGCTGTCTGGGTCACTTCGAAATCTGTGGGAAGATGATGGTTTAAATGTCTCAAATCCCAACACACAAGCTCAAGACTGTAGCTAGAGCAGTATGAAGTATTTCCATTTATATTAGCAGAATTTTATTTCAGCTTATTTAAAAACATAAAACTCCTTCTTAAAACCTATTAGTTTTAAATGCAGATTAAAATCAAGAGAAAATAAACTGGAAAATATTCACCGATTTTCCTCTTCATATTTTAACTAGCTAAAGAATTAACTGAACTTTGATGAACTTCAGTTAACATTTTATACTGAAAACAAAAGTGATTGTATCTATGCATGTATGATATAAAGTTTCAAGATAACTTAATCTGACAATTTTTTTAAAGCAGTTCTGTGAGCCTAGAACAATTTTCAGCCACTGAGCCACAGAACTGCAGGAACTTGTGGAATTCAAGATGTCTTTGGGTGGCTTCCAGGAGGTCACAGACAGATAAGGAATTAAAACCAGCAAATGAAAGTTTGCTAGCCAGATAGCTGCACAGCCATAAGGAATGTTTTGTGAATCTGCAAACAGAGAGGTTCATCTCAACTGTTATCAACAATTAAAGAGGAGCCATCTGTGCCTGTACAAAGTCCACGGACAGAAATATCTAGAGAAGTTTGCAAAGTCATTGTAGTGCGTTAGCCTTGAATCCTACCAGTATCAATTGAAATATCAGTATTTTAAAGACCTTGTCATTACTACAGTTATCAGTCTTAGTTGGGACATAACAAAATTTTTTGCTGCTTATTCAGGAAAACGAACATGCTGGACTTTAACCTAAGGGGTTTATTCTTTATAACTTCTAACACCATGTAGACAAGGAGTTTTAAAGGCTACATGATTGAGAGTGAAGGGATAAAACAGACAGAAAAATATCTGTCATAAAGAACCTACATGCTCATGTTGTTCTATATTCATATTCTTCTCAGAGGCCACAGCTGCATTTATGCCAGAATTTCTGTGACTAACAAACAAGTTTCATCTCTTTCATAAATATGTCTTAATTGGTTTTGAAAAAATTAGATAAACAGAAAAAAGTAGTAGTAGATGTGAATGCAACAGCTAGGTGTATACTCCTCTGCACTTGGGTACATCTTCAGAGGTACTAAGCTTTAATTTCAAAACACTGTAGAATAGTTACATTTTTTCCATTAGCTGTGGCTCACAACCAAACCTCAGCAGTAAGGTTAAACCTGTGATAGCCAAGCAGATATCCAATATTTTCAGATGCACAAATGGATTAAAAATAACCTCAGAAGTTCTTATAAACAAGCAAACAAACAACCAAAAGCTATCAGAGTAGTGAAAGTGGATTTTGCACAGGATTAACCGCTTAGAAAGGCTAAGACTGAAAAGCATATTAATTCTAATGTAGCTGAGAAGTCTGTCTCCTATTCAGCAAATCATTTAAAACGCCTGTCTGGGATTTACTGAAGCTAATGAGATTTAAAATGCTTAACTTTACAGTCAGATTCGTATTGTTTTCTGAATTAGCATCCTTGATAGTGAGGGAATTTGTTTAAAAAGGAGAGAAACAGCTTACCTTTCACTGAACTGAATAAATTGCAGAATAATCCAAACCTTATTTGTGCATTTATTGAAAGTGAGCAGTGGTATCAAAACACATACCTAGAGACAGAAATAGTTGTCAGGTCATTCAGCTGTGTCATTCAGAACTCATATATACATACCTACGCAGCTATTTTCATTCTGATAAACATTCTTTGAAACTGCATGTTTGTGGGATAAGAAGAGACCTTGGGACTTCTGATTCCAAACACATAAAAAAGCCACTCGACTTTGTTTCCAGTTTCATGCAACCACAGAAATAGCAATTGCTAATGATATATTATCCTAAAATCTCTCTTGCAGCCACTTTGTGGTATTTCTGTCTCCACAGGACTTAGATACTGTTTTAAGAAAAGTCTTAGCTATTCTGGTTATAAAAAAAGTCACCACAATATAAAACAGTCCTCTGTATTTTCGGTTGTTTCCAGACTTGTTAATGTAGCTAAATCATCAGTGTAGTTCTTTTTGTAATAAACACTTCAGATCTTTATTTCATGGCAAGCATATTGTTATTATTAAGCAAGTATGTAAAAATTAACATTAATAAAGGACACTGATAACTGGGAAGAGTAACTAAGAAACTATGTGTACTACTGCCTCAAGTCACCCTAGGCTGAGTAGTGTCTCTGAATCTCAAAAATTACACTACCAGAGTTAGTATTTTTACAAGATTTGTTAGCCATAGATTATCTGGATAGAGTTAGAAGCCACTAAAAGAAGAGCCAGAAAGAAATGCTGTTGCAACTTGTGTAATTCATCAAGCTCCACTTATCCCTATATCTCTTGACATGCAGAGCACTGGAAAAGGTAGTCCCTTTGAGGAAAACGGAGAACTTGTGTACATGGCATATGTACAGCAGATAAGCTGAAGAATTATATACTACTCTATTCAGAAGGGAAAAAAAAATCCCAAAACATTGTAGTACCTAGGCAGACAAAGTAAATTTTACAACCATACATAACATATACGAATATATGATGCATCTAAAAATTAGTTGCAGGTGCTGACATTACGTTTGCAAGATAAAAAAGCTCAGTGGAAAATTCAGTTTCTAAGAGACGCAAACTAAGTAAAAAAAAAAGAGAGATAGAAAAAGTGTAGTTAAAAAAAGAGTGCATTTCATTTCTGATACTAAATGACAATACAAGCCTTTAGGATGTTAAACGAGATGTTTAACAAACACAGCCTTTGTTGGGGGTTTAGAAAGAATTTATAGGAGGAGATGTTTATGGCCTGTAATGGCCATGGCAACTGCCCCACATAGTTAGATGGAGAAGTCCACATGGAAAAGATGGTATTGCCGACCAAAATGTGTGGGGTTTGTGGTCTTTCTAAGACTTGATACAGCAACAGCTGTTTTAAGCAGGAGGCCGAGCAAATGCTCCCCCATCACATAACCAAAGCACAGGTAATGCTCATACTGTCACCAAAGCAACCTGATCAGGTCCAGAAATACTTCTAGTTCTCCAGTGACACCACCCAGGGTCTGGGTACCTAACACAGGTATTCTGATGGTCCAGCTACCTGCTCTCTAGGTGTTGTAAATGCTAAGCTAGGCCTCCATGGCTAAATAGGCATCACTTAGTATATAACAGACTGTTTGATATGACTTAAAAGAAAGGAAGTGGATGTATGCATCTTTTTTGAGTGACAGCAAACTCTGGCTTAATGGAAGTGCTCCTTCTCATTCACCAAAGTAAAATTTTGGTTTCTTTGTGTTAGTCAAGACTGACTTGCAATATAGTTATTTTTATCCCAGAATTCCTTAAAGATGTATTTTTACGGTCTTTTATCAGAGCAGATGCAATAAGGAATCACAGAATCAATTAGGTTGGAAAAGATCTCTGAGATCATTGAGTCCAACCTTTAAACACCACCATGTCAACTAGACCATGGCACTAAGTGTCATGTCCAGTCTTTTCTTAAACACCTCCAGGGACAGTGAGTCCACCACCTCTCTGGGCAGTCAATTCCAATGCTTAATCACTCTTTCTTTGGAGAAATTCCTCCTAATGTCCGACTTGAACCTCCCCTGGAACAGCTTGAAACTGTGTCCTGTTGTTCTGAGTGTAGTATCCCACACTGGTATAGTTTGGTTTGCCAGGTGTGTTACAAGCAACAATAATATACTTGCTAGTTAGCTCAAATCTTGTCATTTTGTCAAAGGACAATCTGCTCCAAGTACATGAATAAACTTCATCTCTAGCCATGTTTAAATGTCAGTAATTATCACACATGAAGGGAAAGCAAGGAAATTGTCCATTTTGTTAAGGACATCTGGAAGGTATGTCATAAATACAGTAGGAAAAAGCAAATTTTCAGGAAAAATATTTGACTGATATCCTTGAGGATGGCATATTTAGTGTGTAGCACTACCACTATCTCCTTTCACCTAACCAATAGGCCTCAATTATAAAGATGAAAGCACTTAGCATTCTCCTAGACCCCAGTTACACCTCTATTCTAACACAGTCTGTCCTCTGATGCTAGAAAAAACCCTTAAATTACCTTGTATTTGTGTGTAAAAGTTTCAACTTCCTTAAAACTTCAGCTTTAAGAGACACTTTGTGTCTCTTAAACACAAAGATATAGACAAAATAAGAGATTGTTTCGGAGATACTTACTAGACTTCTCTCACAGCAGCAGCTCTGCTGTTCTACCCACAACTATAAAAAGTGTTGACACTCGTGTCCTGATCGCTCCTCTGAAAGTAAGGCAAATAAATAGCCACTAGTATTTGGTTTCTGATGAGGTAAACTGCTTACACATAGCAGTTGGCCTCTTCTCGTACTTCTGGGATTGACACAGATGGAGAGTTGAAGTGCTTTCAAGCAGTAGCTTTATGCTCACCGACTCCCTGTTTTTCAGACTCTATTTTCCCTCAAGAACAGGTATTTTTAAAATAACTTGCATATCTTCTACTTTAAAGAGAGCATCCAGAAAGCCTGTCATCAGTTTACTGTGAGGACAGAGGGGAAGGGAATCTGATTGATCGTACCAGGTTATCACCAGCTATCACACAATTCATGTGCTGGAAGGTATAAGGCTGGAAAGAAATTTGTGTTACTTTACCTCAGAGCTCAAACTTGATCGCTTAACGATATGGCCACACTGATGTAGCTGCTGAATAGAAGACCATGGTTTGGACTGTGCTTATTAGACTTGTAAATACGAGCAATTCAGGATAATGGGAGCAAACCCCTACTTTCTGTACACCTACTTGTACACCACTTACAGAAGAGAAAGTTGACAGAGCAGCAAAAGCATATCTGTGTACATTATTCATGTACATTTATCTGTCAGCAGATAGAGTCAAAATCCTCTCAATAACTACTTTCAATATTGATTAAAACGGAGTGCATGTTTTACAATAACTGGAGACAGTATTTTAAGCATTCGATAAGCAATGCTTGATAAGTCACTAATGAATTATCAGGTAAATTAGTCAAGTTTATTTAACAAAGAGCAAAATTTTGGCTTCCTTAAAGCTCCTTTATGAGCATCACAGGAATTTTACTTCTAAACTGTAACTGCCATGGTGCTGCAACTCTATATTGACAAGTTTCCTTATTTAGATTCAGTAGACTGTATTTATTTGGTGTACTAAAGGAGACTAATGGTTAAAGTACTCACATCTCTTTGTGGTTGAGGGAAAGCATCAGAGCTCTATACTTCACAGATTTCTGGGAAGCTAATAAGATGTGTGGCTGAGGCTGTAAGCCAAGAAGTGAGCAAATGGCAGCAGAAAATCATTTCAAGTCACTTCAGGATCTTTGCTGAGTCATATCAGTTTCAGTGTCTTTGTGAGCAAGTCTGTGTGGACTCCACATCACACCCAAAACTACCAGAAGGGATTTTTGCCTGCCTTTAATATTTTTGTAGCTAATTTACAACATCTGCCTGAAAAAACACTGCAACAAACTGAAAAATGCAGACTCAGACGGTGTGCCTGAACATCTCATATAGCCATAATCCAACAGATCCAAATCCAATTGACCTGCACCATTACTGAAAAGCAGTGTTCTTCTTATAGTCCATCTGGTAGATGGTGAAATTATCATCACTACAGACAGAATCACTGTAGTATAAAATTTCTACTAATTCCTTTTCATTTTCTGATGGAGCAGCTGATGTATCTGTTATTCTCATCCATGCCTCACCTGTTTCAGGCCCAATAAGTGGCTCAAGGCACTTCTCATAAACAAGGTGGGTGGGCAGAGTGGCAGCTGATTTATTTATCAGACGAAGCACTGTGAGGCACTTTCACTGAGAGATAAAATTCTGGACCCCAGTTTTCCTCCCTGTTCTCTTAATTGCTCCATGAAAGAAAAGACACCATGCCTACGAAGCAGCAAATCGTAATAACCATGCTCAGCTCAACAGTGTTTATTGATAGATTTGATCAAAAGGCAGAACTAGCATTCATTTGTTTCCCCTCTCTGCTTGTCTACTTGCTGAGAGCCAGAGGAGAAATAGCACTTAATGATTGTCATAGCTTTAATCCAGACCCGAGCTAAAGGCTTAGGCAGCCCAACCAAACACAGTGCAAGCAAATCCTGCACCAATTCTGCATTGCTTTGTGGATATATGGAATAAACTCCTATACTGCATATTCCAGTCATCTATTCATGGGTAGATAATGTTAAAGATATATAGGTCCACTCTTATTCCTATTTTCTGACTAGATACAGACAGAATGTGTCTTTGTGGAAATTGGTGTCGTTGCTTTACTGTCATCGAGGATCTCAAAGAATTCTCAGAGAACAAAAGTGGCGGCTCTATGTCATCTGTAAAAGAAACAAGATGCACTTCTCACCTTAGCTCTGCTTGCTTCCAGTGCACCAGCATTCCCTCAGACTTATCTTTAGCCAGCTCTCAACCGTATTCACCTTAATCAGACAAACCTTTCAGTGGTGTGAGAGGGAGAGGGATAGGCCTTGGTTCCACCAGCACATCAAAGCAGATCTGCACCCCACCTTTTTGCTGTAACCCTTTCAACAAATTCCAGTTTATACAGTTAATGGATGGACAGAACTAGCTCTGTCATTGTGACAGAGCTGTGTTAAATAGGCATTTACGAATTCAGTTCTGTAGGACTTTTTATTTCACTGAGTCTGTCTTTTTAAAACCAATATATCAAAAATTTATAATTGGAATATAAACCACTTTATGTGACCATAATTTCAACAAGCCTTCAAAATAACGTTTTGTTGATGGACAAGAGAAAGTTTGTCAGGGAGAAATAAACATATTCTCAAGCTCACTGCCACCATGTGTATTGTCAGGGAGCATCCTCTATCCATATATCATAAAGACTTAGAACAATGTAGCCTAGGAGTTAGTGGTAAAATGATTTACTAATTCATCCTACTTGCTACAACAGTGTGCTTTGTTCAGTCTAGAGGCTTCTTCCATTTCCTTTAGAAGATCATTTGAACTAAAATAACTCATACAGCATATAACTCGTACAGCATAGACTGTATGCTGCAGATTATCCCATCTGTTTCTAATTTAATCATACTAATTAGCTGAGCTATCATAAATATATTCCCCTTCTGTCATCACTGCTCACATTCTCCGTATTTATCTGCAGATGCCACGAGCACTTATTTGTTCTTGCTACACGGTAAACATTGTTATGTCAGGAACCCTGCTGTGATAAAACTTCCCTAACAAACAGTCACCCTAAGGGAAAAAACCAGTGCCCACAGCTCGGTAACAAGTAGTAACAGGCTATCAGGTGGTGACAAACGCTCCAAGATTTTACTTCTAACAGTTTGTCACATTTCAGCAGTTCAAAGCAAAGATTTTCAGGAGCCTAGGACTAATCCTAACTGTTTCTGAAATCTTCATCAGCATATTAACCATGCAGTTTAACTCTGTGTTATCTATTATACGTAGGGAAATTGTATGCCTTTTTTTTTCAAGCAAATATAAGAGGTAATGTGATTACATACTTTGCAACCAGGTAGAGATGAACAGTGCCCCTCACCTCTCGGGATCACAGACAGGAGTTGCAGTCAGTCAAAAAGGAGGAAGAACAAGAGGACTCTCAAAATTTTGCCAGTTTTTTAAATATGTGGGAGTTTGTTTAGAAACACAATTCAGTTCCATTGCATCTACGCAACCATATCTTATCCATATGATTTGTTTGGATGCAGCAGTCACAAAATTTAGCTTGAAAAATTTTGCAGGAAAACATTTAAGTTCCATTTTCTGTTTCTCTGTTGATATCCCATAAACTCTAATCAGGTTGTGCTTTGTAAGGATGCCCATTATTTTAGGCAGATAAATAAATAATTGAAATCAAATGTTCAATGTCAGATTTTGAGGTTATATGCAATCCAACTGTAATCCAGGTCATGGATTTAGAAGATACATTTTTCTTACGAAGAAATAGATTCTGCATAATTCAGAAGAGTTTTACACAGAACTGTATTCTCAGATGGATAAAGATGTGTAAATTCCTCAAAATCAAAGGGAACTGATACCCAGGAGGGCAAAGCAGACAAAACAGCCCATCAGCAACTCAACCACATGAAAGACCACAAAGAAACTCCAAAGCCACCCACGCAGCTGCCTGAGGAGTCTGTCAAGGAATGAGAGGCTCTTGTTCAGCTCATGCTGCTGCTGGAAATGTGTTTGAAGAGCTTGGCAATACATCTGGATTTTACAAGTGGCACACAAAGATGAGAAAAATGAAATCAGATTGAATTATGTGCTGCAGTACACCGGCGGTGTCACATCTCAGCTAACTAGTATGTAATTGAATTTACAAGGTAATGGAATGATCTGCATTTGTTACTGACAGAGGCAGCTGAAAAACATCCACAGGGTAAGTACAAACTTAACTAGATAGCCACCTAAAAGGCAAAGAAGATAGCATCTTAAACTGTACTTATTTTTTAATAATATCTGTTCTAGATACCTAGAAAGCCTCTGTTTCCGAAAAATTACTATCAGGCCTTGAACATCAGATATCTATAAAACCAGAATAGGAATGGTGAAGAATTAATCCCTTTGTTTCTACATTTATCAGAAACCACCAGTACTTAAATGGTAGAGTAACAAATTATCACAGCTGTTGTATCACTTGTTATTGCTTTCTACCTGTTTGGTTTATATAAAGCTGACAGAAATGCCCCACTTTACTGTCTTTCTACCTACAAACCTGAAGATATCCCTTCTCTAAATTCTGCTTTCCTCAGTATGGAAGAAAGAAAGACTACAAGTGACTTAAATTTTCAAAACATTTGCCAATAAGCATTCAAAACAACCCACGTTAAATTGTGTTCTCTACTACACCAACATATCTCAGCTAGCTGCACTGAAATATGAAGAGAGATTTTGATGAGAAAATACTTATTTAAGACAAATTATTTTAGATGCCTTCAATTTGCCGTAGGGAGTAGAAGGGAGAATGAGGCAAAACCTGGAACACTGAAGGCATTTGTCTTCAACGCTTGTTAAATGCTCCCTTGTTTTGTTCATGTTGTCAATCTGTAGTAAAATGAACAGGATCTTAAATACACATGGTGAAGACTGCGAGCTCCTTATTCAGTCTCAGTTTAATCTTCCACAACACTTTTTGTTTAAATTTGTGAGTGACTCACAGCAGTGGCTTCAGCCAAGCTTAGCACAGACGGACTTTGTGCGTGCCCACACAAATACTGATGAGTCTATTCCCACTGTTGGCTTGTGAGA